AGATTTCCAAAAGTAATGAGAAAACTGCTGATCATAGGCTTTTTGAGTATAATTAAAAGGCTAAAAACAGTGGAAACATTGTGGGAAAACAAATGGAACAAATGTTTAAAAGCAAGCTGAAACTTTCCCTCAGTCATAGTCCATACAGAGAGGGATAGCCAAAGTTGCACCCAAAATTGCCAGTGAGCTTTCAGTCTGAGAGCAGCTGGTTTGTGGCATCCAAGGCAAGCACCTTGTACAGCCCCTTTCTGCTGCAGTGTGGCAGCCGTCCTTGCTATTAGGAACAGAGGCAGGGAGGAATTATTTTAACTGCAGAGTTCATGAGATAAAGATAGTGAAGTACAGACCATGGATGGGAGCGCTGCACAGGGGTGGGTTCTGGTGTTTCTGAACAAAAACCTGCTTGTGAAGAGAACAGACGTGCACAAAGCCCAGCCCTGCAGCCAATTTTCAGTGTCTTTTCCTGCATAAAGGCCAGGGACAAGCCAGCTGCAGTGCACACACACGGAGGCATCCTCTGGCTTCCCGCAGGACTGAGATGTGGCAGGGAGGCATCAAGGTAAAAGAACCCTGCTTTGGAAAGTTTTAGCTGCTGAAAGAGGCTTTGAAGATGTTTGAGGAGGAAGGATTTCTGTGGTTCTTTTGTACATAGTTTACACAGCCAACCTTTCAAACTGCTAACACAGTGCAGAGCCTAGAAACATTCACAGTTGCTTCAAAGTTAAGAGTTTTGTCCTGCTAAGTCATTACATTATCTGAGTATAATCCAAAGAGTTTTCAGCTCTGAATAATTTAGGTGAAAGAGTTAGCCCTAGGCCAGGTGCTCTACTTAGGGAGATGGTGAAATAAATTATTCAGAAGGGGAGACAGGTAAAACAGATGGAAAAGGCCGCCAAAACAAGACACCCAGAGGGCAGCTGTTTTGCAGGTCCCCTGTGAAGCACCTCACTTACTAGGAGGGCTGTGGTAATGAGTCAAGCAGTGGTGTTGAAACTGAACTTTGCCTTGTTAATTCATGTGGTGGTCACAGGGAATACAGGTATTAATAGCTAGAAGCAACCACCACTGTGTCCGAACCTGTGTACCCCACACTCTAGCATTAGACAGAACTTTCACAAAGCACTTAGGCCAGAGTTTCCTAAATTATTTGATTTTGAAAATTATCCTCAGTAGGGAGGGGAAAAATACATTTCTCAAAATATGTAATCAATTGAAACAATTTTTCAAACATATAGAAATGTAGAATGGCCTGGATTGGAAAGGATCTTAAAGCTCATTGATTATCATCCCCTTGCCATGGGTAGAGACACCTTCCTCTGGACCAGGTTGCTCAGAGCCCTGTCCAACCTGGCCTTGAACCCTTCCATGGATGGGGCATCCACAACTTCTCTGGGAAACTTATTCCAATTGCATTTTGTTTTCTCATTCATATCTAGATTTCAAATTTTGCTATAACTTGTGCAATTTGGAGTACGTTTTTCAAGGCAATTTGGGATTCCTACTACTTCTGTTTATGGTCATATGTGTCAATTTTTCTAGAACACATCATTTCAACAATGATAAATAAAGCCCTTTGATATTAAAAGTACTCAGATAGTCCAGGAACTTATGCCAAAGCAATGAAAAGTTCTAAATTATCTTGCCATTTTTACTGACAAGTGAATATTTTACTGGCTTTTACTGTCAGTCAATGTTTGATTCTTTTGCTAATGACAATCACTAACTTTACTGATGGTTGGCAATGTAAGACAAGTGTCATGAATGTATATGAAAGCTGACACCATTTTTTTTAGGGAAACTAAATAAACAAATCACTGCAATGCTAATTTTCATTCCCATAGTACAGTAACTACTCACGCAAATAATTGTCCTGGTTATGAGGGAATAAGTTGCCCGTGCAAATGGCAAATTAGATGCACAATTGTCCAAAGAGATGTTTTTATGAACAGGAGCTTGGTACTTTGCTCAAGTCTGTCTCACTAGGGATGAGCTTTCACCAAGAAGAGAATCCCAATCTCTCTCCTGCCTCCCTGCCCCAGGAACAAGTGGCAAAAAGTACAAGAGAAGGAAAGCAAAAGCAGGCACCTGAGCAAGGAAAAGAGGGAAAGAGATGAAAGACTTGACTAAAGGAAAGCACTGTGGAGAAAGAATACTGGTGTGACAAACACTGAGAAATCCTCCTATAATTTCATCAGCCTAGATTCTGATACCCTCCTGGGAAATGACACCAAAGTTGCCACATCCCCACTGCCTTCCTGGAGAATCTGATTTGCAGCTGGGCCTTGAAAATTTCAACTCATTTTTTTGTGTTGAAGTCATGCATTTATGACATTGTGATAAATTGTGTGAAAATTAATAAGAAAAGATTATGGCTTCACTAAAATTCCAGGCAGAACTGTTACAACAGTGAAATCTCTTGTTTAATTTCAAAGGTCAGTAAAGGTAGCACAGAAGGGCTCAAACTTAACCTTATGAAAAAGTTAACCTTTTTCTTTTCAACTTTGCTCCAATGTAAAAGTTCTTCTCGAGTAACATTTATGTAATTGTTTTCCAAAATGAATATAACATGACCTTCTTTGGCATCCTCAGGAAGTTTCTTTTCCTGTTTTATAGGAGTTTTAAGAAATCGTTAGATATTCTTGCTGTCCTCTGGCTCCTCTAAGCTGACATTCTGCTTGTACTTATCTGAGATATTATGTAAGACCAAGAATTTCAGTTATTTTCTAGTTAGACAAGTGAGTATGTGAGCTAAGGATGGCACTTGGTCAATAAATCCTTTCACTTCCTTTGCACTTCCTTTGATCTCCAAGGAGGATTTTGCCATCCTCTTCAAAGAAAACAATATCCGCTGATGTCCATCTTTTCTGATTCCCTCTTGATATCTTTCCTTCTTTGTGACCATCATTGTGGCTTCCTGACTGCTTTCATTTGGTAGCTAACTGAGATATACTTGAAGTATTTACTCTCCTTTCATGTCTCTGTTTTCTTGTCCCTGTTCTCATCTTACCAACATTTTAATTAGCCTTATTTTCTGTCTCTTCCCCCTAAAAAGGCAGACATTTTTCTTTTCTGTTTTTTACCATTGTTTATACTGTTCTCTTCATTTGATACTCTTTTCTTAAGTGATATTTTTTACTAATTTAATGATTATCTCCAATTTGCATGTCTGTATGTTTGTAATCTGCATATTTGTATATTCCCTATGGCACTTTTACTTCTGGATGAATGTTTGTTACACAGCAAGGATATCCTGTAAATACCACTTAGAAACTCTTTTCAAATTATGTAATCACCTTGCAGTTCTATTTTGAATTCTCATCCTAAAGGAAAAAACATATCTATCTAACTGCATTAGCCATGTGAGGTGAATTACCCAGTAGCTCAAGAAGGGATTGTGATTTCACCTCATTAGAAGGTTTTCCTCTTTTCTTCTCAGGTTTTATAATCAGTAAATGAGAAAGATTACAACTGTCATCTGCCCAACCCTGGGCAGTGTGAGACAAAACAAGAAATATGTTCTTTTAGCAATTGCTTCCCATGTGAATGCACAGAAAGGAGTTTTCATTTAGTTTGCTGCAAAACAGCATCTTCTGCTGAGAGGAAACTATTGCAAGTAACAAATCTGGATTGGCACAGACTATGGAAGGAACAGGATGTACCAGGAAACAATCACCTACTCATCAAGGAAGTGGAAAAGCTCTAAATTTATTTTTTACTACTTTGAATTTATATCTCAAAATATGGCAATATTTGTTAAAATATTAATGTTTTTAATCATGTTAAGACAAACTAAACTAATTTGGCTGAGATATGTGAACAATTCAATGGCTTCGCAGGCAGAGGATTTAATAAGTGATACTGTACACATACGTGAGAAAATAATTTGGTTTTGACTCTGTTCACTTCATTATAAATACTGCCTTGATGAAGCAGTAAAAAAAATTAACTAAAATTACTCTAAAGGTTATATTTAGATTAAAATTAATTCAAAGTCCTGTTAAAATTAATAAAATTTAGAAAATGGCAGTATTCCTGTGATTGAAAAGGCTGATGTATGTTGTTTTTCACTCAGTGCATCATTAAAGAGGAGGAAAACTGTTATGTTCAGCTGGGTTGAACTGGAAATAATAATGGAAGTGAGAAAGGTGTGTTTGAAAATTTGAGAAATCTGACCAGTGTATACATATATATACATTTATATATATATATATATATATATATAGATATAGATATAGATATAGATAGATAGATAGATAGATAGATAGATAGATAGATAGATAGATAGATAGATATGGAAAAGCAGATAATTTCAGGAATGAGCTCATCCCAGAGTATAGATATCACCTACTTTGTGGATCAAATTGACCTTTCTAGATTATTTCATGTAAGTAAACTCTATACTGTAACGAAGCTATGTTTAGTATCTTACTCAATTTTTACAGTAATATTTGTTGTGAAATTGAGTCTTGTACATAACTTCTGGGCTTGATCAATTATTCTAAGATGTTTGCAAGACCTTGAAATTATTATCCTTTTGTTGTGAAAGAGAAAATCTTTATCATCGGATGCACAGCTTGATCTCTTTTTTAATGTGCTTGGAAATTAAGAGAGGCTGATTTTTTTAAGTCGTTACAGTAGAATATTTTTTGGCTCTGCTCCATTAAAGTGGGTGGGATTCATCTGAGATACAGCTGAGATCAGGTTCAGGCTGAGAAGACGGAGGTATTTCACTTGCAAACTCTACAATGAATTTTTAATAATGAATATAATCAGCAGTATTACCAACCACTTAATGAAGCAGAGGCAGGTTTACCCCAATGCACTTGCTTATTATATGTGTGCAGGGAACAGCAGTGAACTTCATCTTAAAGGAGTATTTTATACACACTTTGTACAAAAGAGAAGAAATTACTGAAAGTCTGAGCTTGCATTTTGAAATGTGAACTGTATTGCGTTTTATGGTACTACTCTTTTAAACCTTTATTCTTTTATTTTTTTTCAGAAAAGGAAATGCACTAGAAGTTGGATTTGTTAATAGCTTTCTCTGACCCGTTATGAAATATTTCAAATTTGGTAAGTAGGTAAGAGAATTAAAATAAATTGTTGTTACAAGGGGGTATAATTTTTAATGGACATATTTGTTTTGGCTAACTCTATTGATTATGGCCTATATCTTTCTCAAAGCTTCTTTGGGTGGATGAAAAGTTTTGTACTATGCAAATACAAGCTGTGATTATCAGTTACCTCTTGTTCCTATTGGCTATGCACCAATTTGTTCTAATACGGTTGGTATGAAATGTGCGGTTTCTGCTGTAACTATCAAAACTTTCAGTCTCTGCTGTCAGTAGTGGATATGATTTGCAAAGTAAATTCCAGTGGCAGGTGAAATGCCACAAGTTTTGAAAGAGTTTCACTGCAATCAATTATCGAGCATATAATCCTGTCCCACATAAATGAAAGGATAAAATTCCTTTAATTTCATTAACAGGAATTTGGCCTGAAGCATATGGACTTAACTAGGAACTGAGGTCTTTAAAAACATGGCCTCTGTTTTAAGTAGGTCTGTGTCAGGATCAAGGTGGGAGGGGCACCAGGCAAGTGACTGCACGAGTTTCAGGAGGAAATGATGGATTTCCAGAGGACTTTGGGTGAGCATGCTGTTTCCTCCAAGCAGGGCACTCCAGGGCTTAGAGTGGCATTTTCCTGCTACCCTGTCTTGTGGCTCTTGACTAGAACTTGTGTGTGAGACAGGTGTTAGGTTGAGGTGAGATTTTTATAGGCCCAACAGGAAGGTACAGACAAGGTACACATCTGTTTGCATCTTGTTCAAGGTCCACACTCTTAAATTATGAGCCTCTTCCTTTTCAGCCATGACTCTCCTCTCCTTTTTGCACCTTCGTATTCAAGGTTGCAATTAATTCTTTAACACTTTGGAACTCAAGATTGGCACATTACAGCCAAATAAAAAAGAAGTGAGATGGTAACTGAAATGATGGAGAGAGGGGTTTACAATGTGGAGCAGCAGGGTTGTGTAATAGTGTGTAATTCCTGTGTGGTCTGCTGAGGAGGCCAATCTGTGCAATCTGTAATGGCAAAAAGCCAGAAAAGAGACCATAAAAACTGGCACCAAGTGAAGACAAGGTACTACAGTTTGAGTAGAGGTACTAGAGGTACTCTAGCTACTTAGAGTTAGTAGCCCATGACATGTAGGGGGGAAGGAAGATGTGGGGGTTTAGTGTCTGTTTCTATGCAAAGCCTGACAAATCAAATTCTGACTGACTTGTTACAAAACAAAATGTTTGCATTTCATCAGGTCATAATGATGGAATGGTTAAATCAACACAGATTTTATCTGGGGAATGTATGGAAGAGCAAAGATAGGTGTTGTAGGCAAGAAAAGACCACAGAGGCTCACTTGGAAGGATCTGTGCAATGTTCTGTTAAAATATGATGATCTCCCTCCTCCAGTGCCCCCCAGTTGTGAAGAGAGCACAGCTGTGGTGCGGGAAATCCACTGGCAGACAGTCCAGATGCACATGAAGTGTGCAGAGAACAAGCTTGGTCTCTTACCTCAGGGGATTTGAAATGGGATTGGTGTTGTCTGTTTTCAAGATGCCTCCCTATTCCCAAGAGATTTCCTTATGGATATTATCAGGGAACTTACAAAAGTGGCTTTTCTCTCACATGAGGATTTGAAAAGCAGAAGGCTCATGATTTTCAGATCATGCAACATAGCTTGATATCACTCATGAAGTGACACACAAGTCAATGGGAGGAAAAAACAAATATATAAGTGAAACATTTTCAGTATTTTCTTCAGTGGAAAAATACAGTGACGCTTTAAATCTACTGAAATAAAAGGCAGCTAATATTTTAATTTTGTATATATAAATATGTATGTGGAAGCTGTTATTAACACACATCTTACTGTAATGATTCATACAGATGTTAAGTAGGATTATGAAACAAATAAAGGCATAACCATTCTCTTAAATCATGCTATACTGATCAAACAGTTCTGTGCAACATCCCAGCTATTCATTTATAACAAGAAAAAACATGATTAGTGCACATGAGTAGCGTGGTAAAATGGTAATAGTCACCAAGTACACATTACCCAAGCAAAGAGTACTAAGAAACAAAGCCAAGTTTACCATTATGACCAATTTACACTCATTTAAGTTATTAAAAAAATAATATTAATTTCATCAAATAACTAATGTAAGCCTGTATACGCTGATTCAACAAACCTCCAAACACTGCTTAATTTTAAGCATGTAAGTTAATAGTTTTCATCCTGGGGTCCATAGATGCCTGGAAGACCCTAGCAAACAAAAATAAGGAAGAAAAATATAAGCCTTTGAAATTCTTTGTTCTGCTGGCAAACTTAGGAGAACAGCATGTTAAAAAAAGACAGTTAATATAAAGACTCTGCCTTCTTTTCCATCCAAAAGTTAAACATGTGAGATTATGGAATTTCAAAACTGTCAGCAAACTATACATTAATTGAACTTATTATTAGACTTACTAGTTTACTGCTGTAATAGTTATTACAATCACTTAAATGTTGGCTGTATAAATCTTTTTATTTTTATGTTATACAGAACAAAACCAAGAAACACTGTGGAATACAAATAGATTAAATAGTGAGTTGGAGATACACTATGAGTATTTGTCCCAAGTGATATCATGGCACAAAAGTTAATGCAAATTCATTTCTCAGTTTTAAACCTTTAAAATGTTACAGGGTGGCAACTACTTTCTCTAATACAAATCATTGTGCCTTGTGTTCTTACCAATTGCTGTGTCCAACAAGCCCTTTGGTCAAAATAAAAACTGATGATCAGACTCAACAATTTATGTTGAGCTCTTTTATGGAGCCACGTGTGTGTGACAGCATTGATATGGCAGGTCTGTACCTTGTAAAGAGATAAAAAGAGTATTTTTTTGCTGTGGCACCATTGTGTATTTGTACCTGAGTGGAGAGGTACAGCAGGATTAGGAAATAAGGATGATGTGAAACTCAAAGATGATCTAGTTGGTTGGGTGTTAACCAGTGATTGGAAGACCAGAGGTAAAAATAAATTTGGGTAAAATTTCTGGCTGAAATTCTTTCCTGTTCTGCCACGTCATTGCCCTGTGGCCTCCTGAGAGTCACAAAGACCTAGAAAACCTGAAGATACTCAGGCTCCTACCTTCCCTTTGAAAACAATAAGGATATAAGTATTTGAATACCTTGGTGAAAAAAAAGCCTTTAATCCTTGTGTTTGCTTCAACTCCCTTAGAGATAAATAGTGCCTCTCTGAGAATGTGGTCATTTAGGTGTGAAGTTTCAAGATATTGTGGTAAAGAGGCCACAGAAGTACCTAAAGCAGCTGCTTTTCAGCAGGTAGAGACTTCAAGGCAGCATAAAATTTTGGCTGTTGTAGGATTTGTTTGTTATCTGCAGCAGTTTTGGTTTTTATTTTGCTGCTGTGAGCACTCTGTGGGCGCTACCTTTGGACTTGGTTATTACTACAGATTCTGCTTTTATTGTTGTGTTATGGAAAAACTAGTACCTTAGCCTGAAACTGTTTGGAGTTCAGGATAGTAGAATAAAGATGGGGTTTTAATCATCAAAACTATGAATCAAACGAACAAGATTTTTTTTCAACAGGAGTTTATTATAATTTTAATTTTTCTTTGCAGAGCTCTGTTTCTTGAAGCACTTTCCCAAAGTTAGGGCCTGAAAATTCAATGCTCACATATGTTTTTATTGTCCACATTTTCTGGCACAGAGATTGAGCTTGAATTTTATTTTTTCCCCAGGAGGAAGAACCCAACTGTACAAAATAGATTCAGATCTGTACTGGGTGCTTTCATAAACCTAATGCTAAGTTGCTGTTCTCCCAGCTGGGCATGTTAGCTTTCCATCTTGATTTTGGATAAATGCTATTCGAATAGAGGATATTTATTATTATTATATGCTGAGCTGAAAAATTAATGCAGAACTGGGTCCGTAGTCCTGACTAATAATTTTGCGAAAGGGAGAGGACAACTGGTCTGGAGAATCAGTAGAAAAGCTCTGCCAAATATAGCTGTAGGAGAAGTGCAAGGTAATGAAATACTGAAGTAAATGAAGTGCTTGGCAGCTTTTAGAACAGTTGAGAACATCTCTCTGCAGTATTCACAGTGCCTGCCTGCCTCATCAAAGTCTGTAATGATCAACCAGCTTAGAGAATGGGATACCTGCTATGGAAATGTACAGGACCTTACACAGTGGAGGGAGAGGATTTCTCATGGAGCCAGGCAGATGGCCTGACTTGATCTTAATTAACTTTAAATACCCTTTGATGTTGAGAGTGCACTTATCCCAGGTTGACTGGTCTGTTCTGATGGAACAAGGATAAAACCCCTCCCCAGAATGCATGGGAACCTGGGTCCTGCAGGCACCACCCCACTCACACCTTGACTTTGGGGGTGATGGTCACACCATGAACATGTCCCCAGACATCACCCCGTGTGTGTGATCACCTTCCCCAGCTCCTGGCAGAAAGGGCTGTTGTTCCCATGCTGCAAGTTGAGCCTTGGTGGGCTGTGCTTCTTACTTAAGCTCGCAGCTGGTCTTTGAAAGAGCAGGAGTTGTAGCCCAACCCACATCTCCCACATTGTACCAAACTGGGCGTCCTTTGCCTTGTTCATCCGTGCAGAGAGAGAAGCAGCTACATCCAGTGCTCCCCTGGCAGGAGAGATCATTCTGCAGACAGTAACACACTGTATAGTGACTCCAGGATGACAGAGTGACATCCAAAAAGCCCACTTTGGTCCCCCACCAAAAACCATGCCATTGGGGAATTGTGAAGCTCAGAGTCATCTGGACTAATTCCTATTCTGTATATATGTCACTGGGGTTTTGCCATACTGCCTGAGGCAAACTCCTGTCAAACTGAATTACGTATGGTCACACAGGTGCAGATGATGAACTGCCTACAAGCTCATAATAGAGGTGTTAATGTTGAGGTTGGTCTAGAAAAGCTCAGACATCGACTGCTCAGCTTGAATTGTATCTTCAATTAATTCAGATTTATGTGTAACTACCAATCCCTACTGAGTCAATGAAGTGTCTGCATCCAGAACTGGTAAATTAGGTTTTTGGCACGGGGAAATATTTTGTCATGGCAGAGACACAACAGAGAAATAAATTTCAAGTTGTCTCAGAGACATAAAGACAGAGACAATCTGTTCTGTAAAAGCAGCAAGGGATTATGGTATGGTTCTAAAAGTCATATGACATCAGTTGAATTCAGAACCTCCTTTTATTCTAAGACTTGGAAGTTCAGGCCAGACACTGTTAGAACTAGTCAGTGATGGCATGGCAAAATGAGCTCTACCCAAACACAGTCCAGTGATCCTATGGACACAATTCTGGGATGCAGCACAAACTTTTGAGAGGTACTCAGCAGGTTCAACCCTCTTAAAGCCCCTGGGAAGGGAGGATGCTCAGCATGTTGTCAACATGGACTCTAAAGTGCATTTCAGTTGTGGGCCTACCAGGCTCACAGGTTGGATATTTAAACTCTCAGAACTCAGTCAAATAAGCCCAGTTTACCTCACAGCCAGACTAAGTGCTAATTCCTCAGTTAAGATTATTTCCACATTAAAATTGAATGGATCCATTCCACGTTGGCTGCTTAGTACTTGTAAGAACTAAGGTCAAAATATATTTTTATAGTTTGGAAACTGTACTTTTGTCATTCACTCAATAGTGTTTGAAATCTTCATGTTTGAATTTCACAACAATAATAATAGTATTGCTTTTGAATGAGAGCTCAGCATAGCAATTATCAGCTGAGACAAAATGAATGTTTAAAAAATTATCACTATCTGAACCTAAGCTTTTATACTGCAAGATGTTTTAATCAATTGAGAAGAAATCCTCATATTCTAATAAAGTAAAGTAACTGGAGACAAAGTGAAATAAATAGCAGCAATAACAATACTTCTTCTGATTAAATATTTCACATTTCAACGTTACCTATTCACAAAACACTTAAATAGCTCATCAGTTTGGCCAATTCCCCTTGGTTGTGAGGAATGGAATGCCTTAATCTGAGTGGACATTCTCACTGTACATCTACTTTAGAGAGACATTTTATGTCCAAGCTTTTGCAATTAGACTGCCTCGTGTCTGTGTGAATAAATCAGTCACAGTGCACATTTTGGTGAACCACAGTCACTTAGAGGCTTGGATTCTCTGTAGATCAAAGAGCAAAACACTTCACAGAAGAGATCAGCTGAATGGGGAGAGCAGAGTTGTGGGAGAAACTTGCTAACTGATGAGCAGGCAACATGCTCATCAGTTGTCAACCGCGTTGTGCTTCCTTTGATACAAAAACATGTTTATTTTTAGTCTCTTTGAGCCTTGCTAGTACTGGGCAGCAGGGCCAATGTACAGCAGAGTTCTCAGCTGCTGTGATGGAAACTGGGAGATCTCAGCACTTCTCACAGTTAGTCCCTAGACTGGGACAAGATAGAGGCCATCTTGAAAAATAACCAGAAATTAAGATGGCACTTGAATTTCCAGGAAAATGCTTCTGTGAGTGTCTCAGTATTTAATAAAAGGTGTCTGATGTGCTCAGCTGCACAAGCATACACAAATACATGATTATGACTTTTCTAGATTTGAATCTACTCTTACCAAAAATAAAATAACATAATTGATGTCTGTGGCATTACACCTGGTTTCTCAGAATGCTGAATGGGGCTCTCTGTACAGGTCCATAAAGTTCTCTTTATTACACATGTAATTATATTGATGTAATGTCTGTCTTTCCCTTTTATGATAAAGTAATACACAAACCCCTTCTAACTCCTTACATCTTTTATTGTTTTATTTTATAAATCCAAAGAAAAAGTGGTTCATAACAGTCTTTACAAACAAGCTGCATCTGTTTAATATTAAAGTGAAAAAAATCATAATAGAACCATTACTTTGGAATATCCAAATAACCTGAGGAAAAATAGCATCCATCTGGCCATTGGTATAACTGTTTTTTACATCAGTTGGATGTTTCTGGGATTGCAAGATTCAACACTTATCTTTAAGTAGAGTGAGTTTCTAAAGATGTAGCATCCAGAAACTTGTGAGTAATCTGTCTGCTTAGAAGTACAATATTGTGTTACCAGATCTGCTGAGCAAAGGCACAATAAAGTTAATCCTTTGGTTCTGGAAAAGCTGGAGGTATTGCAATGGCAGATGTGCTGAAACAGAAGTGTTTATGTTTGTTAGGGCATGTGAGGCAGCAACTCTGCCAGCTCACGAGTATTTGAATTTCCTGCAAACTTTTACCTAAGGGCTGTCGTGGGGAAGGAAAAGAGCTCAGAAGGAGTCTCTGCACCCTGTTGGCAGACTGGAAAACCTCTTTTGGTGAATTGGTTGGCACACACCTGCATTTTCTCATTGAACTTATTCCCTATGAATGGAGTCATTATGGCATTAAAGTTCTTTTGGTATATGGGGTACAGTATTACCAAGATCAATACTCTGTTATATTTAATATATTTTCCACCTCTTACTACGCCATATGGAAAAGAATGAAAATGTTAGGTCAAGGATTTTGTACTGTAGAGGTGTGAAATGACTCTGGCTTGGCCAGAGCTTTGAGATGGAGCTGCCTTCTAGACCTTTGCAAAAAGTGAGCTCCCCAGAGAAGCCTGTCAGACTTTAAACTCACAAAGCCAGGTTGTGCAGAGCACAAACAAGGAGGGTAATCTTTTGATGAGAGGAAACACAAAGTAGCTGGGTAAGAACTAAAATAAAAATCAGTCATTTATAGCATTTTCCCTGCCTACAAAATCTTTGCTGGCAGGTCCTCCTTCCATGCCTGGTAACAGTTGATTTGGGGACTTCAGATTGCAGTTAATTCTGTCCAGACTAAAGAAAATCCTTCCTTCTGTCCCTTTTAATGCTTTGCTGGCTGGTGGCTGCCCTTTCCTGCCATCATTGTGGGACCTGCTGACTTCCAGCTCTGTGCTATATCCATCTTTCCCAAAAGAAGGCACAGTTTCCCCCTTAGCAAGAAGGAGTTTTTGAGTGGCCACTTTCAGAGTCTAATTATATTGAGTTATAAAAAAGATGGTGGTGCAGGAGGTCACAGCAGCACTTAAAAGAGTTTGTGCTGGAGATTTCAAAACATTATGTTACTGTCCCTTCCCTCAGAAGCTTTTAGTTGAAATCTCAAAGGCAATGAAAACACAAATGGAAATGGACTCCCAAAAGAGTGAAAAATTTCTACCTCACAAGCAAAGTGGCCACAAAAGACCTGGGAATAGACCACAACTGCACTGGTTCCCTTTCTATTTTCCATTCCTTCCCACCTTACCAACACAGTCAGACATGCTCAGTTTGCTTTTTGGATGACCTGAACCCACCTCCTTGGTCTTCTCACAAAAAATATCCTAGTTCTTCATCCAAATGCATTGACAGTTCTGTTCTTCCAGAGGAAAACATCATTATGAGGAATGTCAGCAAAGCAGAGGGAGTCCCAGAGGTTCAGTATAAAGAGAATGGACCAGAAGCCCCTGAACAGTACTCACTGTTGGACAGGGAATGGCAGTATTTGGAACAAAAGACAGAACAGTGTTCCTGACATAACAGTGGTATTTCTTGTGTTGTCACAGCTGAGCATCAGCACAGGGCTTTATCAAGAGCCAGAATACCACTGAACTAACTCCTGTATAAATACAGATTAAGAGGACAGTCATTGCCCTGGACCATTTACAAAGTATGTAAGAGAGGCACAAAGAAACAGTCAAACCCTACTGAAGACATAATAAACAATAATCATAGAAACATCACTTTAAAATTTTGGTCTGATTTTTTTTGCAGGTAGTTTTTCAGAAGAGTTTACATCAGCATTTTGAAGGAGGATAATGAGATCACTTGAAGTCTCCAGAGCTGCTCCCAGGAGATGAAGGCTAGAAAAGAACATAAACAGAACTGAAAATCAAGCAAATAGGTGTGGGTAGATGCTCACTGTATGGATGGATGGTGAGGGGAAGCTTATGTCTAGGGGCTCAATAGATGCAGGAGGTCAACAAAGAGAGTTTTTGAGAAAAGCCAAAATCTTGTATTGGCTGACAAAAGAAGGAAATATAGTGGAACACCTAAGAAGGAAATCAGCTAGTAAAAAATATTTCTTGCAGCAGCATTTTGAATGGATGGATGGATGGATGGATGGATGGATGGATGGATGGATGGATGGATGGATGGCAGGCGATAGGTTAAATCTGTTCTCATCAAAAACAGATTAAAAAAGGGGATTCTCAGCATCAGTACATAATATAATGAGTGCAGGACCTTTAGCTTTTGTAAGAGTAGAGAACTGTTTTTCAACAGAGCTGAAGCATGAAGACCTAGAGAAGCTTAGTCAGAAATTATATTATTACTATGTGTGACAGGTAGGAAGAAGATTCTGTCAGGGTGGTTCAGCCTAATTCAGAAAACTCCTTGTTGACATCATAACAAGCTCCCCAAAGGGGCTTTAGGGCTCTTATTTGTCACATGTAGTATTTACTGTGCTTGGTGGTAGCAAGCTGTCCATTGCAAAATCTGAAGAGAAAAGGAGGTAATTTGGAATAGAAAGTTTACTGTGATATTTCTGTGGAGGGGTATGTTTTCAGGTCAGATGTAAAAGACATGAGAAAATAATCACAACAGAACTTGTGGAACTTCTAGAGGAGAAAAAGGCAGATGAAGAAAGTCCTCCACAGAAGTTCAGGAAGATAAGCCATCAGGTTGCTCATGCTCAGGGAGTAGATATCTGGCAAATCAGAAAGAAATATATTTAGGTGTTGGTTCTTACATGAACAAGAAGCTGTAAGAGATTTTGCCAGAGCAACTTTGGTGGAACATTAAAGAAGTCAGATTCCAAAGGGCTTGAAATAAAAGTAATATATAAGGCTAATATAAACTCCAAGCAGTGATTTAGGTTTTGTGTTCACTATTTGCGTAGGAGTGGAAGGGATCTTGTAGATTACCAAATCCATTCCTCTGCTGCTATAAGCAACAGTATCTCATAGTCTATACATTTAGTAAGCTTCACAAAACAATTCTATTTATTTTCTTCTTAGTTTTAGTGGAAAGAACAGTGGTACAGAACTTCAGTCTTTTGATAATCAGAAACTTTAATTTATGGGCTGGATTTATTAATTGCTCATTAGTAATCATTTGTTCTTGTGTCGTCATTGTCCATTTGCTTAAGTATCTTTTCTCTCGCTTTAGTGCCTAACCTGAATGTATTTATAGAGAGCAATTATATTCACTCTCAGCATGAGTGAGCTTAGAGATGAAAGGGAGAAGGAAGCAAACATGTTGTTTCAGCCTGGACCAGCTGGAATCTCTTTGTTCAGACTCATGTAAAATGTTTTGCAGCAGCTGAATCTGGAAGCAGCATTTGTGCAGCTCATAGAAATATGATACAGATCTCACCACCTCACAGCCAGATGAGATGGGAATGGGCATGGCAAGCAGGGATATTGTTTGAATATCCATGGGTGCTGCGGACCTGAGAACACCAAAACTACAGTCCAGCTTAGCTGGAGAAAAAACATCTGCTTTTAACTGATGTAAACACCTATGGTGAGCAATTGCAAGCATTTCCCATTATCCCTTGTATTTTTCTAGTGTTGGGAGTTAGGTGTCTCTCTTTAATGGGTTATCACCACCTGTGTGGCTTATTTTGAAGAGATGTTGCCTGCTGTAGGCTCTGCAGTCCATTCAGTCACTCTGGAGTGTGTTCTTTCCTAGCATTGTTGTAAGGCTGTGTCCCAGAGTTCTTCACTAAGCATAATTACAGAAGAGCAGGGATTGCCCATCTTTTAGACTTTGTGTACAAATTTCTAACACAAAATAGACTGAATAATTCAATCACAACATTCTCCACCATAGCATGTGTTCAGATAAGTGTCTTAAAAGAGGACTCCTTAAGGGAAAGGCAATTGGACTAAACTATTATTTTGCTTGGTGGCATCTCATTGCCAGCATCTCACAGCTGAACATCTACACTAAGAGATGTTGGATACTTTAAATGTGTGATTGTACCTCACCCCTTTGGATGTAAATCTTAACTGTCTGAGAGCAGTTTGTTGTGAATTGGTTTTTTAAACACATTTCTTATAGGAAGAGCTTTTAGATTTGAAACTGTTTATTCCTCCTATATGTGTGCCATCATTTGTGCTGAAAAGTATGATTTTTTTTTTGTGCTCAAAATTTTATTGGGATTCCATCAACTGCAAAAGCAATGGAAAGTTAAGGGCCTTTAATTCTGTCCAAGATGCATCATTTATAGTAAAATCAAGAAATAGAATAAGGTGATGACCACTGCACCTGCAGCAGATTAGTTACTCTGTGGAATAAGGCATTTCATCAGCTCTTTTCTTCTGGAAAGTGGTGTTTTATCTTGGCTTAAAGCTAAACCCTGCCCTCTCCTTGTAACTGATCCTTGTGCATCTTCATCTAAGTGCAGAATTTGTTCAAATTTCAGCTCTTCTCACAGTTCAGTACAAACCATTCTGTTTTTCCTGAGGGAGACAGATATACAAGAGTAGTGCAGGTCAGGGTTGTGGTGAGCCACATAAGGAAGCTTGTGCAATACCTGATTTAAGTGTAAGATTCTCAGAGGGTTTTCAGAGAGGAAGAAAAATGGTGTGGTTGGCCATGGTGTTTTTCAAAGGACTCTGCATTAAGATTCTGGAGACAGGTTTGAGTTCACCTGGTCCTTTGCCCTGTGCTTGCCTGATCAGAGAGGGAAGGCCCCATGGCCATGGAGGAAAGGATGTTGCAGTAAATAATCAGAAAATCAGTTTGGCAGCCTACTCAGTGAAGAGGAATGAAAAAGCGGAGGTGGCAGGAGGGGTTTTTAAGGCTTTCAAGAAGGGTGGTGGTTTGATCCAGCAGCAAAACACACAACTGAAACAAGGACAAACCCAGTGTGGAAAAAGCCTGTTGGATACTCATCTTTGCGTAACTTAAAAAACAGCTTAAACACAATGAGTTATGCAATAAAACTCCAGTTTGCTGGCAGCGCCCTCACCTGTCTCCTCAAAATATCTGAGACACTGGTCTGGGTGTAGATTTAAAATACAGCTGACTGTTGTCAGCAGACTGAAATCAGAAAAATGTGGTGACCAGGCACAGAAGGATGTACTCATGTGCTTTAGAAGCATGACGCCTGCATCTCCCACAGGGAGAGAGAATTGGACCATAAAAAGCATTTTTCTGAATCAGATTAGACCTGCAGACCACTAGCTGGACCCAACAGCTAAATAAATACCTCTGTAGGAATATTTTAAATTCAGAGAGAGACATTTTAAAATGAAAATATGAAATGTTTCTCTTCAGGCTATGTCAGGGTGTTTAGAGAGGACCAAAGCAGACAAAAAATAAGAGATCTGTGGTATCAAAACCGAGTATCTTTTTACCAAAAGAAGGGTTTTTTACAAAAAAAAAAAAAAAAAAAAAAAAAAAAAGAAGAAGAAAACCTCTTACTTGAACTGTAGGAACCAGGAAAAACTTCAATTCCAATGAAGACCTTTTTTTTCAACAAACAAAACCTGTCTACTATGAGAAGAATCACTAGGCTGATTCTCTTGTTATAAAAATATGAAATGCCCAACATTCCCAAGAAAAGACCCAATCTCTCAAGAGCTCCAAATCCAGACAGGAAGAAGGTAAAGCCACCCTGAGGAGCCTGGGCACTTCTCTAGTGTCAGTGACTGACTGAAAAACATCCCAAACCTTACAGTGATGATCAGCAACTGGTGTGAAACTTCATCTCCTTGAGACCTGCCATAGCTTGTACAGTTCTGCTTGGGTGCTGGCCCTGAGAAGTCATGATCCAGATCAGGGGCTACTGTGCTGGACACTGTATAAAGATATCACCAAAAGCCATGTGGCAGCAATGCCACACAGCTGTGGGATTTCTTTTTGTTTTAATTGGAAAAAAAACCAACCCTGCAGTTATCTGATGCTCTAGGTCTATGTACAAAGCACGTTTTAAAATACAATAGGCATTCAAATGGGAACATTATTAATTAAAAGCCTCCACGTACTGTACAAATGAAACATTCTTCTCTCTACCTACTCAAGTCATTCATTCAGAAAAATCCTGGGAAAATAGTTAGGCTTTGCAATGTGCCCCATAGGTCAATGTATTCAGGCTCCCAACAGACCAAGTGGAAGGACTGAGTTCCAGAACAGCAAAATCTTCACTGCCAACTCACTCTCAAAGGCAGCACATTCAGAAATGTGCACGCTCACAGGAAAATGGCTCTAGCTCTTTACCCAGCTCCAATTTTAAATGAGCCCTTTAATATATGGATGTCCAAGCGAGGAAGAGGTGCTGACCTATGCTCCTGCCTGGAGCACAGCAGTGGGAAGGACTTTGAAGCCCTGTACGGTTTCAGACCCACAGCTTGCCTGACTTAGTTTTTTTTCTACTGTGTATGTCCCAAAGGGATCAATTTATACTATATATTTATATTTATACCACAACAACCCCTTTTCTCTATGTCCAGAAACACCATGTCCCTTTTATTTAATAACAGAGGTGTCCTTGAGAGCCAAGCTGTCCCTGGGCTTACTCAGTGACAGGATGTTCCAGAGCATATCCGTAAGTGCTGGTCTCACAACTGTTTACTTTTATGAAAGTCCCATATCAAAAGTCCTTTTTTAGTATAAGGATGGGTCAAAGTCTGTCTGCTGAAGCCAGAGCCAAATTTGCCTCATGCTTTAAAGTTTGGTGTTGTATTTCAGATCCATCCCCTAAATCAGACTGGCTTTCAGTGTTCAGATCAGAACAATCCCTATCTTATTTGCTTGCTGGCTGCAAAACAGTAGGAAGATTGTCAATACTCTGCCCAGGCTCTAATTAAAAATCCAAACTCAAATTTAATATTTCAAACATTATTTAAAATATATTAAGATAGTCAGTCTATTGCTGTTGCTCATTACTCTGTTGAAACCTAATATTAGTAACAGCATGTACAGAGGACCTGGAGCATGAATTAATAATGAGGTGCTGGAAAACATGCAAGAGCCTGGTTCCCCGAGCTGGCAGGGACTGCTTCGCTCTTCTCTGCGCACTGATCAAGTCATCTGCTCACCAAAATCATTGGGAAGGAAAGTATTTCTGATTACTTTGCTTCCTCTGATGGCCATTCCCCAAAAAATTTTCCCAAAGATGACAGGCCATCCAAAATGAAGGGGGCCACACTAAAGGGCAAACCCTTTAGCCCAAAGGCACTGTGCTAGGAATCTAAGAGCAGTGCTGGTACTTGAGTATCACCCTCCAGTGGGGAAGACACCTGTGCCCTCAGCCTGCCCTCCCCTGGTTCATGAAGTCTCTTCTTGAGGCTTTTGAGGTGAGGTTCAATCCCTCCATCTCCCTGTCCTAACAGAAAATAAATTTGGATGAGAACAGAAAGAGCATGTGTTTGTTAGTGCTCTTGGCCCAGAGTGAAGGTATTGGAGGTGTTTGCAGGTTTTCAGTAGATAAAAGCATGGACTTAGCAGGTCAGTGTGCCTGAATCAGGAAAGATGTGCAAGCTAGAAAATATCTGCACCACTTGTAGCATGCAATGCATATACATTTATATATATGTATGTGCCTAAAATATATGCATTTAAAAAGTATTATAGTCATGTAAGCTGCATTTTAGCTGCATAGTGATATAATATAGAGATTAGGTGTATTTGTTTGTCTTCATATGTATACTGTACAGGAAACTGGCTTTCACCTGTCCTCCCAGTGCCCTGTGCTGGACTGCTCTGCCTGAGCCCTTCTCTGCTGAGGGTGAGCCCAGAGACCTTTGTGCTTCCTCTGTGCATGGACAAACAGCTTCAGATTTGTAGAAAACAAACAACCATTGCTGAAGGTGTTTGAATTTTAGCTGCACCCTGGTCTTATAAAGCCTTTTCCTTTAAGATGAATGTACTGTTAACCTCAGTGCAGCACTCAGTTCTGTACCTACTGCCTTGTTCTCACCCTGTAAATTAAAAGGCGTGAAGGAGAAGGAAATTTGCCAGAGCAAATGAGAGAAATTATTACATAATTTTGTGTAATTTTTGATGCAGGAAGCAATTTTCTCAGCACACCTGTTGAGGGGAGAAACAAGGCTCCTTCAACCATCAATCTGTGGGACCTCAGAGCCCAGCCTGAAAGCAAAGGCGAAACGAAATACGAAAATTGCAGTGCAGCAGAAGAGGAGTCAGCTATCTGCGGGCCTCTGCTGAAATCCCATCTTTCGGGTAGGGTTTCTTGTGCATTTTCGTGTTTTGGTCACCTGACAGCAGCTCTCTGGCCTAATTGGTTTCCTAGTTAACAGACTAAGTAATGATGTAACCAGAGTGTGTGGGAACCAGACCTGTGTGACAGATACAAATTTTCCCAGCCACACTAATTTTGCCTGCTTACCTGGTTCTGCTGCTGGTTATCTGGAAACTTGAACTGCTTAAAGGATATAATGAGCCCAGCAAAGGTTGAGACACAGCTTAGTCTTTTAACATAAAATTATCCCCTGCTGCAAAACCTATTAACTTGTGAAGTCCAATTATTTTTGTTACTAAACAACACTGTGTTTTAAGAGATATGGCTGTGTCCACAGCTTTTATTTACTTTTTCTGTGGTTGGATGAAGTGAAAATTAGTTGCCTTTAGCCTAAAGGAGCAGATCAGCTCTGTTCAATTACAAGCCTGTCTCAATAACCACTTTCTACTCTTGACTGTCTGCTGTCCCCAGGCACACTCCCACCGTGTTGCTCATTTGTGCTTTTGATTTTTGTAGCTGAACATTGTTGCTGTTACCTGTATGACAATACAAGGGCTTCAGAAAGGCTCCAGCTAAGATCTAGGTCTTGCTGAACTGGGCACTATGTAAGCATTTAATGAGAAAGTCCTCTAAATGCAAAGTGGTTACTTCCCAAATATGACTGACAGAGGAAAGTTTTGCTGCCTCAGAGCTGAACCGCTGAAACAGTAATTAAAAAAAAATCATCAGGAGAAACAGCCTCATGTAAAATAATCAAACTGGGAAAGGAAAGTGAGAGAGAAAAGGAGTGCCTGGCACAGAGGATGCCTGACCAGCTTCTTTCTCCATGTGGCAAACAAAGAATGAAGGTTTCTAGATTTCTCTCTGCTGTAACATAAAATCCCAGTAAGCACATATAGCTCATAATGGGCAAAGGAGCAGCTTCAGCAGGGAATCTGTCTGGCATTTGTAATTTCTGTGGTCCACGAGCTGTTCCCTTGCATGTCTCTCTGCACAGCAGTTAAATATTTTCTCACAAGTTGAGGCACCCAGGCTGCTGGATGGGCTACAGAGCCTGGGGCAAACTTTGCCATGACCCTGGTGGTTATTGTTCTGCAGCAAAGTGCAGCTAGTATGGCTGTGTCTGATATTTTTTAACAGAGGAAAAAGTTTTATGTTTGTTAGTGTGCATCTGGCTGTTCTTTCACTTTGCACTCACACACACATTTGATAAATGGAAGTAACTGAGAGCAGAAGCAAGACAGTGGACATTAAAGGTGATGTGAAGCTGGCTTATGTTTTTCTTGAAAATAGGACTCTTAAATGTGATGACAGAAATCATAAAAGTAGCAGGGCTTTGCATACATTGATATGGTTAATCCAGTCAGTAAAAGTAATGTTAAAAAAAGGACACCCCACAGTGTTTCAGTATCTTTCCATGCAAAGTTTATACGATGCCTAACACGTATGCAATGGATCTGAGGCCTGACATTTATTTAAACTCTTTGGGAGCAATATCAAACATTAATGGGGATTAGTGTTAGAACTGGTGTAAACATAGCAAACAATCTGCTGTAAGTGTATGCTCACATTTCCATATGTTATGTAGGTAAGCAGAGCCACCGCAGAGGAAAGAAACCTGGAGATGCAGTTCTCAGCTAACTGCCTCCAGGATCAGCAGAGGCAGTCACTAGCAGGGCACAGCTATCTCATGATATCACTATCTACACTCTCATAAAATGCTCTGTCTGGAGCTGCAATTTAGTTTTGCAAAAGGTAAGAAAGATTTAAAGAGATGCAATTCCATTGTGCAAAACCACTAAAAAACAGATTAAAATGATTTAGTACTTCCAGGTGCACTGTAATTCTTGGCAGGAATAGCTAATTCCAGGTGTCTAACTTTAAAAAAATGTAAAAAAAAAATCCAACCCTCTTGTCAAACCTGGATAAAAACATCAAGTTAGAAAAACAGAAGCTAAACTAGGAACAAAGTCCAAAGCAGAACTGCAGAAAGAGCCTCTCCATTGAAGAAATTATTGCATATAAGTGAATCTCCCTATTACTTGAGTAAACATAGCTTGATTCTGGGCAATATTTCAAAAGAGATAAATCTTTGGCATGCATGAGCACATAGAAAGATGACATGTTCACAGTGGGAGGTATGAGGTGGGGTTTCCAGTAGTGCCAAAATTTCTCTCACACATACATACTTAGGGCCAGATCCAAAGCTGCTGAAGTAAGGAGCAAATCTTTCCACTGTCTTCAACTGGTTTTGTATTCTACACTCACTCTCTCTAGGAGAAAGGGGAGGAGGAAATACATTTGTTTCCTTGTTTTCAGCCAAATTGTTTACACATTTTTCCTTCTCCTTTTAAGCCTGGGGAACTCTGGTTGTTAACTTCCTCAGGGGCAGATCCTTAATCAATAGATGAAAATATAAACTGTACCACAAGATGGAAAATACTATCATACCAGCTAAAGTTATTTGCTTCAGCAACACATGTGGTAAGGGATATTATTATTCCATAATAGAATACACATTGATTCATTTGGCACTTTTTTTTTAAGAGTTTTTATTTATATGATGTGTTTATGGACAAATATGCGTTGAATGCTTTTTAAGTCCCATTATGGTTTGGTTTTATTTCCACATGTTCAGACGAAATGACCATTACTGGGCCTAGAAACCTGCTGCACTAATGGAAGTTCTTAGAGTTGGTGCCAGTTTTATATCCTGCAGGGGTAGTTGCCACTATATTAATATCCTGCAGGTCAAGTTATTTTTTTAAAATAACTTGAACATATTTATATGTTATATAAAATAACTTCAACATATTTTGCAGGCTCTATGCAATTCAATATAGTGTCACCCTCAGTAGGTGCCAGTTTTGCATCTGAATTAAGAGCCAGGGATCAGACCTCCAAGTGCCAGATCAGACCTCCAAGTGAGTGGGTTTTGCAGAAATCCATGGCCTCACAGAAGGAAACTGGACTTGGCAACCTTGTCTCCTCAAGGTCTCTGTGAAAATCCTTTAAGAATCATCATTCTCTCTCTGAAAGAGTAAGAATGGTTGGGAAAACTGGGCTCTCTGCTGGTATGCTCAGGGTCCAGGTGCTTGCTGCTGCTGCACTCAGCTGCTTTTGCTCCTGTGAATAAATGATTTTGCCTGTGCTGTAACCTCAATTTAACAGAAAGGGGGTAGAGAAAGCCAGTCCTTTCTCAGTCACTCCCTGACTCTGAGCACTGCTGTCAGCCGTGGGAGCCCAGGCAGGGTTGTGCCCGTGCTGGCACATTGGCATTTCCCTGAGCTGAGAGTGACACGCAGGAATTATGGAAACCTTTCCGCCTTTGCCTTGGCACTGCTGGGCTGGGTGGCCGTTTCTTGTGGCAGAGGAGCAACAAGGTGTGACTGAGCGCAGGGCCAGGCAATTAACAGCCCAGCTGTGATTGCACAGGGCTTTCTGGGGCCTCTCCTGTTCCCACACAGAACTATGTGCACGGAGGAGAGGGGAGGGCACCTTTCATTTCATTTCTCCTCTTGCTGCTGAGATTGTGCTAAGTCAGTACAGAGATCCTTATCTCAAAGCAGAAAGGAAAGTGAAATGTCCAGTTTTGTCATTGTTTGAGTGCTCTGTGATATCTAGCTTAGAAGGCCCTGATTTTATTGCCATGGCACTGCTGTCAATTAGAAGTGGTGGTTCTGTCCAGACTCCAGCATTAGGGCAGACAGGATCCAAAGTGGAGTTAAAGGTGTATCAAACTTAGCATGAAACTGCTTTGGGTTTGTGACATTGTGATAAACCTGTTTTCCATTGAAAAACACTGAGGAGAGGTATAATTCTTAACTATCATTACAGACTCCCCAGACTATTAAGGCTGCATAAATATTAAAGGCTTGTTATTTACATTAGAACCATTATCTTTATAGATATCGGTGCTTGTAAAATGACTCATAATGCATAATTCATTCAACCAATCCTGCCCTTTTCTCTGTTTATTATTCATCTGCAAATAGACTTTGATTTTTACAAATTTGTTCATTATTCATATTATTCCAGGCTCTCTGCACATATTTTAGTGGTCTCTTTTCCTTGACACCTATTGTCTCCTACCCTATTTTTATCAATTTGCTTCTGTTGTTACTTGCAGAGTGTAATTGAACATTTAATAACAGACCTGAAACTCCCCCTGACTTTAATGAAGATTTACAGGATAGCTCTGGGGGGTTCATGATGATGCTTCTGCCTCTGCAGCCCCTGACAGGACACAGTCTGCAGTCATTCATACAGCAGGCTCTGCCTTTTGTTCCCACTTGCTGGACACACAATAATCCAGCAGCACGTGGCCAGGCTCTAAAGTCCAGGAAATTAACTTGTGTGTTTATGTCCAAAGCAAGGCAGATTTCCCTGCACCACAGCACGGTGTGGTTCAAGGAGAGAGCACCAGAATGGAATTTCAGATATCTGGTTCAGGTCTCCAGCCAACCCTTTCCATGCAGAGTTGCCTCTCCATGTGCCTCAGTTTTCTCTTCTGTAGATTGTTATCAGTGTTGCTTGAGGAAGATCTTGCTTTGCAGAGACCAGAAGTAGTAAAAAATGCTCCTGGCATCTAACTTTAGGTACAGTTATTAACTTGCTTCCCCTGAGCTTCCTGAAAAAAAGTTGTCACTGATTTCTATTCTTGGGGCTGCTGTTTGGAAACATCTCCAAGCTGATCCCTCACTACCTCTTGGAGGATCTGGATAAACTTCATAAATTTCATAGCTTGGGTGAAATGCCTGAAGAAATACTGCCAGGCTTCTAGAAACAGAAGGTAGTTCAGGAAATAGAGTATAATGTGTTTGTCTCCCATCCAATTACTTTGATCTGTAAGATAAGAATAGTTAACAAATAACAAAAAGTTCTCTTTGTTTTCAATTCAGTTTGTCACTATTCATCATTAGTTTATTTTGGATGCACTTCTGAGAAGTTGCTACCTGCACTATGAGGAAAAAGAAATCAA